CGTAAGGATCTGGGACAGCACCAACCTTGAACTCTACATGGAGTTTTGGGTCAAAATTCCTACATGTGGGGAGAGATATTTAAGGCAGTGATGTCTTCAAAGTTAAGAATCCTTGAAGGCAACTTCTAAAGCACTTTGGGAAGCTATTTTAACAAATCATTTCCAAAAGTGAATACTCATAAAATGTAAAAACTAGAAGAAAATGGGAGGAAATAAAAGATTAGCACTTATCCTAACCTTTAACTTCACACCCTGGAAGTCAGTCCTTAATGATTCATTCAATACATATTGAATACATATTCTGAGCCAGGTGATACGGTGTCTTAGTAATCAAGGACTAGGCATTCCAATATAGAAACAAAGTTTCCCACAGTGATAAATTCCTTGAAAAAAATAAAATAGGGCAGCATTGGGAAATGATGAAGGCTCTGACACCTGCCCGGCAGGTTCCGGGCCCCAGCTCTTCACCTGCTGTGTGTGTGAACTTCAGCGAGTTACTCAACCTCGTTAAGCTTCAATTTCTCCAGGACCTACATATCACCTCCTCCATCGGGTCATTGTGAAAGGAAACTAAAATAATCAACACGAGGACTCGGCACAGTGGGCGGGATAGAGCATACTATTACTCTAAAGAAACAGGCCCAGCAAGGTTGTGTTTCCAACTACCCAACAAGACTGAAATTGCTTAGAAAAAGTAAAATACAAAATGCCATTATCATGCAGAACTCATACTGGTGTAGAGAACCATCCGGAGCTCAGCTCTTGGCTGGGTGGAAATTTCTTCCGTTTTAGCAGCTAGAAAAGCCAAAGCTTCTATCAGAAATGCTGCTACCATAGCCCTGGCTGAGTTCAGGCAAAGACAATGATTATGACGACGACTGCTTTCTTAATCCCACTTGTTTATTCATTCATTGATGCCCTTGTGTGTGTTTGGCACTAGATGCCACCACAGAGACAACACAGTTGTGTATTTCCTGGACAATGAAACCTCAGAGAGGACTAGAGGAAGAGGCAAAGGAGCGGACCATTGCCATTCCGTGCAGTAAGCTGTGGACGGAGGTGGCTCCAGGTCCTCCAGGAGCCCACAGCTGGAACATGCAGCCCTGGCTTAGGGGGCAGAGAAAGGGAACTTCAGCCACTCTGAGAATGGGAAAGTATTTTTCAGCAACAATAATCTGGACACAGCATGACTGAGCTACATGCTCTCCTCTCCTCTCAATCTGAGTCACCTCTTTCTCAATGGATCACAATGACATAAAAATCACTATGGACTGTTTCTTTCCATCGGTGATGGTTTTAAAAGTCTGACTACAAATGGACTCTTATGAGGACTCTCGGGGGATGGTCAGATCTCATTAAAAAGAAATGAAAGTAGAAAAGCACACATCATTTAAAAATGCAAGCATTGTGGGGCGGGGGGAAGGGGACATATGTAATACTTTCAACAATAAAGATTTTTTTTTTTAAAGCAAGCATTTTGTTGAGTACCCATGTCTATATAGCCCTGCAACAATGGTGACCAAATGTCCCAGGCCTCACCGAAAATCCCAATTATAAATATTCAGTATCATTGTCCCCATAAACTCTTACGACATCCCAGAAAGTTGAATGATTGCTGGACTTACTTAACTCAGTAAGAATTAGAAAAAATATATACATGTCACAAAAACTGAGTCATGAAATATGGAATCATGTTAGAAAAAAGAAAATTAATTGCACACTCGTACATGCCAGGCAATCCTATATAATAAAAGCATAGTATGAAAATTGTCCCCTCGACTCAGAGTTCATCTGGGAGATTGACCAGGGGGCAGGGCCAGCCAGGGGAAGGAAGGGAGGCCCCAGCCAGCAGCCAGCAGCCACTAGGGAACCTACCAGCGCATGAATTTTGTGCACTGGGCCTCTAGTACTACATACAACTCTAGTTATGGCTCTATATATTTTCTCCTATTTAAGCCTGAGAATATATGGGCTGACATAAAATCCCCAAACAATCAATATAATTGAATAATTAAAATGTGCTATTGTATATAATCATTTTGTTTGGTGCATGTAATTATAATAAGGCCACAAGAAAGAATTTAGTGTTATAACTATATTTTAGCATGAAACTGTAAAGGGCAGAGAAATAAACTGCATGTTTGATTAGGCCTTACAAAGGAAATGAATTACTTAAAAAATGAATAATCCCCACGTTTTAAATTCAATTTGAAAATTACAAAAATTCACATGGTTTCATCTGACATGGTTCACTTATTCAATTAAAGAACCATAAGTAGTTATTTAACCCTGTAGCTTCTGCTATTAAAATAAAAGTATTTCTCATAAAAGATGTTTTGTTATATGAAGCTTGTGGTCAAAGTATTATCAAAATCACAGCCATAGCTATTTCTACTGAACATCTTAGACACATAATATTCTAACTACATTTTCATTAGTACCCAGCAAGAGTGAAGCACTTACTAAAATTATTATCTGGTAAAGATGTTCAGATGACATTTTCAGATAATTTTTATAGCATAATTACACAGTGTTGTTTTTTAATCTTTATTGTTGAAAGTATTACATATGTCCCCCCCACCATTGACCCCTTCTTGCCCACCCCCACCCCCAACCCCAGGCCTTCACCACACTATGCACAGTGGGGTTTTTAACTTTTAAAAACAAACTTTGAGAAATAATTTACATGCAATAAAATGCACTTATTTTAAATGTACAGTTCAATGAGTTCTGACAAATATAAATACAATTAAATACAGAACAATTTCATCACATGAGAAAGTTCCCTCATGTCCTTTCAGTCAATATTCCCCTAAGTCCAGTCTCAAGCAACCAAAGATCTATGTTCATCACTGAAGATGTTATAATTTCATATAATAGAACATCCATGATGCTGCATGTATAGTGGCAATCTCTTCTTACTGCTGAATTATGTTACATTTTGCAAATATTCCTTAATTTAGCTATTCCCTTGTTGATGGATATTTTCAGTTGTTTCCAGTTTATGCTATATAAGAATACGATAAGCATGTATTTTTTAAGGACATGTTTTCAGATTTTTGCATAAGTAGCTAGGATTGGAGTTGCTGTAGAATTATATCCATGCTTAAGAAAACACCAGTACAAAGTGGCTGTACTATTTCATATTCCCATCAGCAGCGTGTGCGACTTCCAGTTATTCCACATCTAGCCATTACTTGTAGTATTGTCAGTCTTAGCTATTCAAGTGGATATGTAGTGGTATTTCATTGTGGTTTTAATTTGCATTTTCCTGATGAAAATAATAATGAATATCTGTTCATATAGTTATTGTTCATTTTTTTTAATACATAGGTTCAAATACATTGCTTGCCTTTTCCCTCTTGGACTTTGTCTTAATATTGAGTTGTAAGAGTTATCTATATATTCTTGATATGAGTCCTTTGTCAGATGTGTGTATTATGAATATTTACCTCCAGCCTGTGGCTTGCTTTTGCATTCTCTTAATGGTGTCTCTCAAAACTGAGATTTTAAATTTTGGTAAAGCCTAATTTATCAATTTTCCTTTTAAAAATTGTTAATGCCTAAGAAACCTTGACCCTTAGATCAAAGATTATTTTTCTAGAAATTTTATAGTTGGAGCACTTATGTTAGGTCAATGATCCATTTTGAATTACTTTTTGTATATGATTAAGGGTCATTCTCCCATATTGATATCAAGCTTTCCCATGTAATTTATTTTTTCCCATGTAATTTATTAATAAGACTATCCTTCCCCATATTGAATTACTTTT